GAGGAGGTGGAGGAGGAGGAGGAGGAGGAGGAGGAGGAGAGGAGGAGGAAGATCGAGGAGGGGGGCCTAGAGGAGGCCCAGAGGAGCGCAGAGGGGAGGCAGTAGAACATTGGCAGGCGCCCGGGCGCCCTCTCAGCAGGCGGCCCTTCGGCACCAGGGGTGTGCCAGCGCCTGCGGGGGCCCGCCCCGGCGGGCGGGCGGCGCGCGCCCGTCGCTGGGGGGGGCGGCCCCGCGGAGGCGGCAGGGGCCGACAGGTCGGAGTCCGAGGTCTATCGGGTCCGATCGGCTGATCGAGCCGAGCGCAGCCCGCAACTCCTCCCGCCCTCCTCCGCATCTCGTTCTCCTCATCTCGTTCTCCTCCCTGTCGTCCTCCTTGCAATTTTGTTCCTCCTCCTCCTTCTCCTCCTCCTCCTGTTTCTTCTCCTCCTCCTCCTCCTCCTCCTCCTCCTCCTCCTCCTACTCCTCCTCCTCCTACTCTAGTTCCCCTCCTCATTGTCCCATTCCCCCCTTCTTGTACTCCTCCTCCTCCTCCTCCTCCTCTCCCTCCTTCTGTCCCTTCCTCCTCCTCTTCCTTCCTCTTCCTACTCCTCTCGTCCTCTAGTTCCCTCCTCATGTGTCCAATCCCACTGTCTTGCATTATACTCTTCCTCATCATCCTTCATCTCCTTCTCCTCCTCTTCCTCCTCCCCCGCCTCCTCCTACTCCTTCCTCCTCTCCTACATCTCCTCAATTCCTCAGTTCCTCCTCCTCCTCCTCCTCCTCCACCTTATCCTACTGCTCCTTTCTTCTCCTCCTCCTCCTCCTCCTTCTCCTCCTCCTCCTGTTGCCCCTCCTCCTCCTCCTCCTCCTCCTCCTCCTCCACCTCCTCATCCTCCTCCTCGCAGCATGCGCACAGGGGAGTGGAGGGGGGGGAACAATTTTGGGATTAACGAGGCCCCCCCCCCCCCACTGCGCGCCCTCTTTACTTATTCTCTGAATCGTAGCTGCTGATGTCGGGGATCGGCCTGGAGAGTGCGACGAACCCCCCAGCGGCTGGAGACTTCCCGCCGCCGGGAGGGCCCCTCCGACGTCTGCCCTTGCCAAGGCGCCCACCTCGGCGGTCCCCCAAGCATCCCTGATTTTGCCAGGGTGGGCGCGGGCAAAAGCCGAGCAGATCCAGCACCAAGGGCTTGAGCCAACATGATGCCAGAAGCCGCACTCGGCTCGGAAGGGCGTGCCAGCCCATCAGGTATCGTCTGCTCGGATGTGGACCTGTTCGAAAAATAGGTTAGAATAGGTCAGGAAGAACACGCGGTTGCATTTGAACGGCGTTTTTTTCCTCACAGTAGTCCTACGGGCCAATACCCGCTGAGAAGGCGCACCATTGCGACTCGCCGTTACGACGGCGGATAAATGCTGCATCGTGGAGCCGGTCGATGGGTAGGCACGGGAACCTACCCCCTCGCAGCGAGGGCAAATTTGTGTCTACGAAGGTTACAATGGGCTCACCAGCCCACATGCACCCTCACGTCGAATGGTACGGGGTTAAGGCGCCCCTTAAGCCATATCATTTCAAGTCCTCATCCTCCTCCTCCTCCTCCTCAGGTCCTCCTCCTCCTCCTCTTCCTCCTCCTCCTCCTCCTCCTCCTCCTCCTCCTCCTCCCCCCTCCCTGGTCCGCGTAGATGGCCGGAGCTCGGCCATCCTGCCGTTGCGGGCGCGGCAGCTGTCTGCCAGTCCTGGTATCCTGTGAGAACCAGCTCTGGCTTGGATGGCCAGCCCTGTCGGTTGACGGGCGTTGGCATCCACAACCTCGAGCCTAGAGCTAAGATGCCCGCCCCTGTCTCCAGGGGGCCCTGCGGCACCCTGCCCTCGCAACGAGGGCAAAACTGGGCACCCGAGGAACCTGGTCCGCATAGATGGCCGAAGCTCGGCCATCCTGCCGTTGCGGGCGCGGCAACGTAATGCCACTACGGGTATCCCGTGGCACGTACCCTCACGTCGAGTGGTACGGGGTCAAGGCGCCCCTTGAGCCATATCATTTCCAGTAATATTCTTCCTGCCTCTCCTCAAATAGGAATTTGCTCCTGTTGTGTCCCTTCTCATTCTCCTCCTCCCTCCTCCCTATCCTCCTACCTGCCTGCTGCGGCGAGACTCGCTCGTCCGGGTTCCACGCGAGCATTCCAGACAGCAGGTCCAGCCCGTTGCGGTCCTCAGCGGGGGACGGGGAGGGAAGGAGGAGGAGGAGGAGGAGGAAGAGGAGGAGGATAATAAGGAGGACAAGGAGGAGGGGGAGGAGGGCAAGGAGGAGGAGGAGGAAATAAGGAGCGCAGGTAGTTGACGAGCTTCGCCGACGAGCGAAATAAACGAAGTCGGGAGTGCCACGTTGAAGAAGTCGGCAATCTCGCGGAGGTTCTACTGAATGGCCACTGCGCGCACAAAAACAATAACCTGGTCTCCACGACGTTCTGCCCCAGGAAGGAGAAAAGGCCACAGTAGCAACCGAAGGACTGGAACAGTACGACCAAGTGCCACTTGCGAGCCGCAGCGGTACTCGCTGGGGACAGCGTCCCTCTGCGCCGCCAGCATGGGCGGCCAACAGGGTGTACTGCAGGCTGCTTTTTGTCCGAACCATCTGGTAGAGCTAGGTCCCTTTCTTGAGAAGACAGCGCCCCGCGTCTCACTCCTCCCGCTGTCCCCTCCCCCCTCATTCCAGCATGTCCTCGTCGCCGTCATCAGCACATTTCTCACGCGCGTCGTGGCCCCACGGGGAGCTCCACCGAAGGCTCCTGTGGCAGGGTTCATATGCGTCCCCCTACCAATTTCGGCACACCCGTCACGCACTTCGTGGACCCACTGAGAGCTCCACCGAAGGCTCCTGCGGCAGGGTCAGGGAGGACCCCCCTCCTTCGTCCAACCTGCTCTACGGCACTCAAACTTGCATATGCTCGGGCCCTTCGCCAGGATAAGTTGTGCCGCGCTGCTGGTCGTGCTTCTGGTTGTACTTCTGCGCGTCGAACTTCCAGCTGTTCTTCATGCTGTACCTCGGCAGGCCGTACACATGCAGGTCCCACGTTGGACTGCCCTGGCGATGCTTCACGCTATCACGCTGCGCGACTCTGTATGTCACTGCGGGCGCAGGTCACACGCCACACAAACGGCCGCACGTCGGGCCGCGCCCGCACTCCAGGTCGAACTTCAGGCTGCTGTGCTGGACGCGCTCCAGGCTGAGAGGAGGCGTCGCCCGGGAGCACGCGCGGGGGCTGCCGCTGATTTCTCGCGGGGGCTCCAAGGGCTTGGGCGTAGATTTCTCCGCGGGAGGTGTTCGGCGATCGCTCCGCTCGACGCCGTCCTCGTGAACACTCCGCGCGCGCACGTGCTGTGCTGCCTGATTTCTCACCGGAATTCCACGGTCAACCTTCGGCGCCGTCGTGGGAACACTCGCGGGGAATCGGCTGGCCGCGCCCCTCGGCGTGCCGCGGGGTGGCGCTGCAGGGTGCTCGGCCCGGAGGCGCTGCGTGCTGCCCTGCAGGGCATGCTTCAGGCGGTCCGTCAGGGCGCGCCAGGCCGAACTCCTCGGCACCGCTGCCCGCAGCAGGCGGCGGCGGCGGCACCGCAGCGCCGCGCCTCTGGAGCCCATCACGAGCAGCGCGTGCTGCGACACGGGGCAGTGCCGCGCGCTGGCCGGCACGAGGCCGGCGGAGGGCACCTCGAGGCAGGTGGGCGGCAGCGTGCCCCGAGGCCGCGCACAGAACGTGCCATGACTTCGCCATGATGCCTTCGGCCACCTCCACCAGGCTACAGTGAACACCTTCCCGCTTGTGCCTTGCGCCGCGTCGGGGTGGGGGAGCATGCTGCGCCGCGCGCGCCTCGCCGCGCGCTCCGGGGCGGCGGCGGGCTGCCTTCCCCTCTTCCCCGTCAGCCCAGCCTGCCCAGCCCTGGCCGAAGCCCCCCCCTCGCTCACACGCCCCTTTCCGCCTCCTGCGTCCGAGCTGCCCTTCCCTCGGGAACAGACCCTCCTTGGACCCTCAGCATGCGGAGCCCAGGAGGAGGAGGAGGAGGAGGAGGAGGAGGAGGAGGAGGAGGAGGAGGAGGAGGAGGGAGGAGGAGGAGGAGGAGGATGTGAGGATGGGGAGGAGGAGGAGGAGGAGGAGGAGGAGGAGGAGCAGCGGTGGGCTAAGGAGGCGGGGTCTCCTCGGCAGCGGCGGCAGCGCCCGCCCGCGGCCGAGCTCCTCACATGAGGTCGAAGTCGACACCGTCGGCGGCGGCGTCGATGGCATTGCCGATGTAGTTGAAGTCGTGGCCGTCGCAGACGGCGGAGTCAGTGTCAATGTAGTCTTGGCCGTCAACGACGGCAGGGTATGTCGCTGCAGGCACGGATGCATCCAGTCCGCGGGGTGCAGCATGAGGCCCATCTCGAGGGAGATCTTGTTGGCCAGCAGGTGGATGAGTGCGCCCAACCTCTGGGGAGTTGCCACCCAAGTCCAGGCGGTCCAATGCAGCTCGGCGGGCAGCGAGGTGTGCAGAATAGTCGTCCCGCCTTCGTTCAGGATTGTTCTTCATCTCTAAGTATAAATAGTAGGACAATACGAGCCTCCTCACCGTAGCCCACTTGGATCTTTCGTGTGCTTCGTCACGTTCATATTCTTCTTCCTCACCAAGGCCAATCCTCGCCAGAACTGTATCATGAGAAAAGGCACGTGGGAGGCAAACATGGTGCTGAAGACGAGGGCATACAAGATAGTGCTGAATGGCGTCATCAGCATCACATCCAAAGGCGCAATGAGCTCGCTCAGGGTGCACATGCATTCTCGATGAGGTGTGCCACCCGCCTGCCAAGGTCCGAACCACAATCCATCGCCAAGACGGAGAAACCTTGGTTAGGAGGGATCTCAGGTGGAACCACCTCGACCGCAAACTCCGCATAGATATCGATATGCCATACCACTTTTGCAGGCGCTTGAAGATGGTCTGATGAAACCTATCGGGGAACATCCGAGACGTGATTTGCTGAAGGTAGTATCGTTGAGGTCGGGGACGGTGTCCCGCTGCGCGTGCGTCATCAGCCGTCTTGCGGGCACTCTCAGCAGCCGCTTCCAGGGATGAGCTTGCTCGCGTCGGTAGCAGTGGGGACTGGCCCGAGTTCAGTGCGGCGTAGCGCTGCACTATAGCCATCGGCTCTTTCCAGAAAGGTGGTGACCATCGTCCCCTTGCAAAGTCAGGTAACGGGCAGAATTGGACCGCCATGGAATCAAGGAGGCTAAGAAAGTGCGTCCAGCTTGGTATCGTGTAGTTGGCCATGCGCCACATTGTGGCTGTATTGTACAGCTTGAGGGATGTCGGCGAAGGGGACGTCATCCATGTCGACATCGCGAGAATATCCTGAAGCCTGAACGTGCTCGGGGGCATACGAAGCACACGATGCAGGGCATGTATTTCTCGTGTCAGAGCCACTTTAGGAAGCCAGAAGAATTGCGCGAGGTAGCTCAGGACCGTAATGCAAGAGGTCTGGTAAAGCCGTGCCAATGCGTCCGTCGGGGCACCAGAAGTAGACAAGGCAAAGAGACGGTCCCACCATTTCGGGACAGCCTTCAACCATTGCAGTTCATTGGTCGCTCCAGGACCAATATGTGCGCCAAGGTAGACCCCAACATCAGCGATCGAGAAGCTACTCCACGCTGGGATCTGTTCTGTCAAGAAAAAGCGAATCACAGACCGTACCTGATCGTCAATAGGAGCCCACAGGGGGATGATCACACACTTGGAAACGTTGATGGCGAGGTGGCCGTACTTTTCTGCGCAGTCGAAAACCTGGTGGATCTTGGGCAGGAGACGCAGATGGTTCAGGTGAACGCCCAGATCATCAGCGCATGCGGACGCAGAGCCTTCTTCTTCAGACGGGAGAATCTCGGCAATCGCTCTGAGAATGACATCCATTGCGATGGCCCATATGGTACCAGAAAGAGGGCAGCCCTGCGCAACACCAGAGCGCATGTAGCACACGAAGCGGTATGCACCGTCCAGTGTGACCATGGCCTGGCCGCCGTCGTAGAGGGCCCGAACGGCATTGATGAAGCCCTCGGCGTACTGGAAGTTAGCGAGCGCTGCAAACAGCCACTGCCTTCCCAGGGACGGGAAGGCCGCCGCAATATCGAACAGAATCTGGACTGGATGTTCTGACCCAGCCGATGGCCTCCATCCAGCAATCCTCCCCAGTGTATCCATGATCATTATGTTATTGCAGAAGTTGCGGCCTCTGATGAAGCCTTGTTGAATAATGTGCGCCCGTTGCTCCACGGTAGTCTTCATCTGCTCGTTGATGGCAGCTGCGAAGATCTTGGAGTCAGTGTTCTTCCTGGAGATCGGCCGCAGGGCCGCTGCAAGCCGAGTGCAGGTAGTGTTGTCCATCTCCTCAGTGCCCTTGGGGATGAACGAGAACAGTGAGTCATTGAAAGAAAAAGGTGCCATTCCAGTCTCCATCGCCTGCCACGCGATGTCATCAAGCACGTCCAAGGCACCCGGTGTCGCCGTCCATGCTCGATACGGGAGTCGGTCAGGACCTGGTGCCGATGCACGAGCACGCTGAGCTGCACGTCGGAGCGCCGCAACCGAAGGAAGATCCAGGGCAGGCGGAGAAAATGGAGGAGGTGCGTGCCGAGCAACAAACTCCTTCATGCGAGACTCGTCGACGGGTTTGTCGGCGAAGATCGGGAGCCAATGCTTCTGCAGCTCGTCCAGCATGTCCTGGGGTGCTTTGACAACGGTGTCAGAATCAGGGATACGAATACCGACCAGTGTGAGAATACGTGCAAAAGGGGCCCAAGCCCGCGCACGACGCTGTAGAATGCGAGCTTGCTTCTGCTGGTATTCAGCTTCAGGCGCTCGTTGGGCGAGTGCGGCTCGACGGGCAAACGTCAGCGCACGCTCCTTTCTTTTGATAAAGTGTTGGTGGTGGGCAAGACGTGACATCTCTGCGAACTCCGCCTCCGAGCGCAGCGCAACATTTCCCTCCTCGATGCGCAGGAACTGCTTACCAAGAGCATTGAACGACATGAGTGCCCCAGCCAGCTCGAAGTCTTGCCGCCATATCGCTCGAGAGATGGAGCGCAAGGCCAGCAGCTTAACTTCATCAGAGAACTGAAAACGACGTCCTCCAGGCAATTCAAGGAGATGGTTGCGTGTAAGTCTGGCAGCTTGGACCATGTTGTCTTTCGTGATTCTCCACATCATATGCGGGCTAGCGCACTTAGTACGAGAACAGGACATCAAGCGCTCATAGAACTGCTGGTAGAGCGGGGTCTGGAACAAGAAGTCAGGGATCTGTTGGACTTCATCTACCTTGGGCCTGGCCGTCGCTATGGTAAGTCCCAAGATCGCGTGGTCACTAAGCCGTCGGTCACTCAAAAGTGTCGGATCAACCATCACTGCCAGCTTCAGTGAGAGATTAGGGATAGCATGTGGGGGGAGCGAAGTGAAGACTCTGTCAATTCGCGTTTGTCTAAGTGAAGATGGATCAAATCGAGTTGGCTCTCCAGTCGTAACTTCCGTCAACAAACCAAAGAGGCGTCGCCAGAACGCCTGCTGGAATGCATCTCCACGGACAGTAGGGAGCAAAATGGGAGCAGGCGTGACGTATGAAGCAGCTGGTTCGTCGTGAATATTGAAGTCGCCCATGGCAATGAAGATCCGCGATCTCGGCGACGAAGAGGCCCATGAAGCATATCGTCTCCATTTGCGTTCTATCTCTCTGCGATGACGAATGGTGAGGTCAATATTGTGGATATTCATAACGACACCAACACAAGAAGAGCCTGCAAAGATCTCCGCAACCTGGACGCGCCCAACTGCGAGGACAGTGTGGACAATCGTGAGCTTCGTGTCAGAAGTATGCACTCGGTCCGCTGGTAGCGTCGGTACCCACGTCGCAGTCGCCCTCAGCGGAGGGGGGACTTCAGCATCCCGTGCGAGGTCTTGAAACCGACCCCTGGATGGCGACGAAGAGGTGGACGAAGAGGATGAACTCGGGGAGGAGGAAGAGGTAGTATTGTCCACCTCCAGACTGGATGACGAGAGTGATGGTGAGGAGCAGCATCCTGAGGAGCCAGAAGCTGTCGACGAAGGAGCCTCCGCTCCGAGATCCGCGACCTCAATAGGTAGGCCACGGGCGTCCGCTTTCGGAACAAGCATAGCCACCCCACCAGTGCTCGCAATTCCGCCACCACTGTAAAGGATCTGATATTTGAAGGGTAGGGCCCCAACTGCTCGGCGAAGGCGTGGACCAGACCCGTGCACTTCTTGGATCAAGATGAAGTAGTTCATGCGCATGTATTGCTTCAGCAGGTCGAGCTTCTGCTTCCGCTTCTTGGTGTTGATCGTGAGGAGGCCCCTAGCATTCCACGAGACCAACTTGAGTTGGGAGGGCGATGCATGGGAGCCAGTGATGCTACCCCCACGACACTCCTCTGTCTTCGGCGAAGAAGTCGTTGAAGGCGCGCTCGATAGCGGCAGTGTCGATATGGAGCTTCGTGGCCTGGGCAAAATTCCAGATGATCTTGGTGTCAATGTTGGCCGCAGCACCCACATCCAGACGCACCAAAGGCACGCCCACAGCAGAAACACGACCTTTCTGTTTGAAGGGACGGAAGTCAATGTCGGCCTTGGATTCCTTGAGGAGGAGGTGCAAGCGCCTGGTCTGGATCTCTCGTCTGA